AGGAGCAGAGGGCACCCGGAGGGGGTAGATAAATGTCTCACATGCAGCTGCAGAAACTTGGCAGCTATGAATTATAGTCAGGTATCTTTCAGGTAAAATCCATGATAAAAGGTATGTAAGAAGTGACTCATCTTATTTAGGCCACATACCATGGCTTTCTTTAAGAAATTTATATTTCATGCAGCATCCCTGGTTTGGGATTTATATCTTTAATATGGATAAATATGTCTCTAAACAGGTTGATAGTGTCACTTATAAATAATGTGTCAAAGAACTATTGGTTTAACCTCTCTTCCTAACCTAATCAGAGCTGACTCCTATTTTTGAAATTTGTAGGGTAATTTCTTTAAAAAATTTGAGGACTTCAATTTATCCATTCACTGGTTTTCAATGCATTTAGAATCACATCCCTATTTTAATTCCAAATAGAACCAATATTTTAAAGATAGCTATAGAGAAAAAGGACACATTAGATTTGTTTCAAAGCTGCTAAAAGATCAGAGAGCTGAAGGCTAAAGGAGTAAGTGGATGTGGAAGATCATTACATGACTAATACAGATTCTAAATGGGATATGGTTTGAAGTGAGGGGTGGACAGGGAATAATATTATTATAATAATAATTATTATTATTATAATTATAAGGCTATAAAAAGTTAGAATCTAAAGATAGCTGATATGCAGTAAGTAGTATTTTAACGCTGATAAATTAAAAGTGAGGGGAACAAACAGCGCTAAAAATAAGAGTGATAGAAGTTTTCAGAAAATACCGGTCAGTAATATTTTCATAATACACTTCCATTAGGTGTATTGAGAGGGGAAGAGGAAAGGGCTATAGATGAACATGGTGCAGCGACCAGCTGACATATTGGAGAGGGGAAGAGAGATAAACACGGTGTTGGGTGACCTGGCTGGCCAGAGATAGAGAAAAGATTAGAGAAGAGACGACTACAAGGGTATATAATAGAGGTCTACAAAATCATGAATGGTGTGGAGAAAGTGAATAAGGAAGTGTTATTTACTCATTAACATAACACATGAACCAGGGGTCACCCAATGAAATTAAAAGGCAGCAGGTTTAAAACTAACATGAAGGAAGTACTTCACACAGTGTAGTGTCAACCTCTGGAACTTGTTGCCAGGAAGTGTTGTGAAGACCAAAACTAAAACTGGGTTCAAAAAAGAATTGGATAAGTTCGTGGAGCATCACAGAATCATAGAACCATAGGGTTAGAAGGGACAGCAAGGGTCACCTAGTCTAACCCCCCTGCCAAGATGCAGGATTAGTTCTGTCTAAACCATCCAAGACAGATGGTTATCCAGACTTTTTTTGAAAACCTCCACCGAAGGATCTTTCACAACCTCCCTATGCAGTCTGTACTATTGTCCTACTGTTTTTACAGTTAGGAAGATTTTTCTGATATTTAATTTAAATCTGCTATGCTGTAGTTTGAACCCACGGCCTCTTGTCCTGCCCTCTGTGGCAAGAGAGAATAACTTTTCTCCATTTTTTTCTATGGCAGCCTTTCAAGTGTTTGAAATCTGCTATCATGCCCCCGTCCCACCCCCAAATCTCCTCTTTCCAAACTAAACATACCCAGTTCCTTCGGCCTTTGCTCATATGGCTTGTATGCCATCCCTTTGATCATCTTTGTTGCTTGCCATCTTTGTTGATCCTCTCCAGTTTCTCTACATCCTTTCTATACATTGGTGACAAACTGAACACAGTACTCCAGCTGAGACCTAACCACCGCCGAGTAGAGCGATATTATCACTTCCTATGACTTCCATTCTATGCCTCTGTTAATGCAACCTAAAATTGCATTTGTTTTTTGCAACAGCATTGGCACTGCTGACTTGTGCTGAAGTTGTGATCCACTACAACTCCCAGATCCTTCTCAGCAATGCTGCTGCCAAGCCAGCTATTTAGTATCCAGTGTATTTAGATTTTCAGCAAGGCTTTGACAAGGTCCCTCACCAAAGACTATTAAGCAAAGTAATCTTGGTAAGCAAAGTCATGGGGTAAGAGGGAAGGTCCTCTCATAGATTGGTAACCAGTTAAAAGATAGGAAACAAAGGGTAGGAATAAATGGTCAGTTTTCAGAATGGAGAGAGGTAAATAGTGGTGTCCCCCAGGAGTCTGTACTGGGCCCAGTCCTATTCAACATATTCATAAATGATCTAAAAAAAGGGGTAAACAGTGAGGTGGCAAAATTTGCAGATGATACAAAACTACTCAAGATAGTTAAGTCCCAGGCAGACTGCGAAGAGCTACAAAAAAGATCTCTCAAACCTGGATGACTGGGCAACAAAATGGCAGATGAAATTCAATGTTGATAAATGTAAGTAAAAGTAATATACACTGGAAAACATAATCCCAACTATACGTAAAAAATGATGGGGTCTAACTTAGCTGTTACCACTCAAGAAAGAGATCTTGGAGTCATTGTGAATAGTTTTCTGTAAATATCCACTCAATGCGCAGAAGCCGTCAAAAATGTGAACAGTTTGTTGGGAATCATTAAGAAAGGGATAGATAATAAGACAGAAAATATCATATTACCTCTATATAAATACACAGTTCATACACATCTTGAATACTGCATGCAGATGTGGTTGCCCCATCTCAAAAAAAGATATATTGGACTTGGAAAAGGTTCAGAAAAGGGCAACAAAAATAAGTATGTATGGAGCATCTGCCATATGAGGATAGACTAATAAGTCTGAGACCTTTCAACTTGGAAAAAAAAAGATGACTAAGGGAGGATATGATAGAGGTCTATAAAATCATGACTGGTGTGGAGAAAGTAAATGAGGAAGTGTTATTTACCCCATCTCACAACACAAGAACTAGGGGTCAGCAAATGAAATTAATAGGCAACAATTAATGAAATTAAAAAAAAACAAAAACAAAACAAAAGGAAGTATTTTTTCCACACAATACACAGTCAACCTGTGTAACTCCTTGTCAGAGGATGTTGTGAATGCCAAGACTATAACAGAGTTCAAAAAAGAACTAGATACATTCATGGAGGATAGATCCATCAATGGCTATTAGCCAGGATGGGCAGGGATGGTGCACCTAGCCTCTGTTTGCCAGAAGCTGGAAATGGGCGACAGGGGATGGATCACTTGATGATTACCTGTTCTGTTCATTCCCTCTGGGGCACCTGGCATTGGCCACTGTCAAAAGACAGGATACTGGGTTAGATGGAGATTTGAGCTGACCCAGTATGGCCGTTCTTACGTTATTCTCAATTTATTTTTTCTTCCCTAAGTGTAGCACCTTACATTTGTCTTTGTTGAATTTCATTTTGTTGACTATAGCCTAGTTCTCCAATTTATCAAGATCCCTTTGAATTTTTAGTACTATCCTCCAAAGTGTTGGCAACCCCCCTAGACTGTGTCGTTTGCAAATTTGATAGTATGCACTATATTCCAAGACCCAGGTCACTAATAAAGATGTTAAACAACACAATAGGTACGCTTTGTTTGCAGTTGTTTAATCAATTATGTATCCACTCAATGGTAGTTCTGTCAAGCCCACATTTCTCCAGCTTACTTATCAGAATGTCATGACTGCATCAAACGCCTACTGAAGTCCAGGTAAATGTCCATATTATGTCCACCACATTCCCCCTATCCATCAAACCAGTTACCCCGATAGGATAGGTCCATGAATGACTGTTAGTCAAGATAGTCAGGAACACAATCCCATCCTCTGGTTTCCCTAAACCTCTGACTGCCAGAAGCTGGGATTGGATGACAGGGGATGGATCACTTGATGATTACCTGTTCTGTTCATTCTCTCTGAAGTATCTAGCACTGGCCACTGTCGAAAGAAAGGATACTGGGCTAGTTGGACCAGTGGTCTGATCCAGCATGGCCATTCTTATGAGAAGAAGATAGACTTGAAGAACATAGCTAGAGATGTAGAAATCAGTTGGTCTAGATGACAGTTATTTCAACGCTGGTAGCACCTAGTCTACACTAGTGCTCCAATTGTGCTACAGAAAGTGAAAATTTTGAGCAAGCAAATACTAATGTAGAAAAAAGCAGAGGGGTCATAAGCCAGTCGGAATGAGCTGCCGGGAAATAGTAAATAGTAATATCCAAAAAAAAGGAGGGAATGACAACTGATTAACCAGAATGAATAACTAAAGGAAATAAGGAGGAGGAGGAGGAAGAATTTTCATCATTCTTTTTTAAGATATAGGGTTAGAGACAACAGCATTCAGGATTCTGGAATCAAAGGTAATGTGTGAGGCTTTTGCCTTAGTTGGCATAGAGCGGGGTAGCAAAGGTGTGAAACAAGGCCCAGGTGATTTTACTTTACAGACCTCCTCATAAGAAGCCCTTGTGGAAGAAGTTACTACGGATTCATCAGAATGAGCTTGGGCCCTGAAGGCAGCATCTTCTTGTAAGACACTGTAATAGCAGGCTTTCAGCCATATGGAAATTGTGGCATCAGGTATCTTTTGGATCCTTTTATATTGTAACTGTAGGCCATGAAAAGGGCATCAGACATTCATTCTATATTGAGTTCTCATGTCCTAGTAGTAAATTAGATCTCTAACTAATCCAAGAAATGCAGACCATTATCCTTGGGTTTGGAGTTAATGGACACTTGGAGCAAATTTAGATTTTCAGATTTGCACCAGTGAAAAACATTTCCCTATTTCTCTGCTAGGCCTGGATCATGGAGACTTTGGAGGACCATGAAAATATTTCTTTCACTGGGAGGATGAACCTATCATCAATTTAGGTTGATAAAAATGTAAAATTAAAACACGAATTTTCTTTCCACAGTAGCAATTTTAGACATGAAAATTAAGGTTTGGGATTTTGTTTGTTTGTTTTTGTTTTTTAATATAGTGTATTAATTCAACATTTCCCTAGAAGAAAAAGTGATAAAAATGAGATATGGACTATCTGTATGAAACTTATTATCTAAGCAGCTTAACCATACTTGCAATTTTTTTGTAAAAGGGATTATATTTACCTTGGTGACAGCCTTTGAAGAAAAGGTAATGTCATCAATGAAAGTGACAATATCTCCTGGGTAGAGTCTATCAAAGTACTTTGCACATGTATCATATGCACTTAACCACTCTGGTATTGTTTCTGGTGCTTTTTTAATGAGCTTGTGATCACCATTCCAGAAGAGTTTTTGTAACCAGATGGTGTAAACAGAGCTTGGAGAGAGCATACTACCATCTTTCTCAGGGATTTTGGGAGCGAGTTTGGAAATGGATAAGATGTTCTGACTTGTAAGGATGGGCTGCAATACTCCCAGAGGGCTCACATTTTCATCTGTTAGTTTTTTGTAATTGAGATCTATTGGCAGAAAGAGAAAAACAAAAGTAGTTATTAAAGTTGCATCTATTCAACAGGTAGGACTGTATTTGGCATTCTATGTACAAAAAAAAAAAAAAAACAAGGACTGAAAGAGCACTGACAGAGCTATCATCTCCACAGACAAAGTCCATTCTAACTTAGGGCTGATGCATATTGACAGACTGTAATGTAGAAAGGGCTATTGATGTCTCTATTTGCTGATAATCAACAGGTTTAAACTCCTAGTGATAACAGTCTGTCAAGAAGAATCATTATCATTTTTTTTAAATTATTCAAGTCCCATACCAAGTACATATACATATACACCTCTGCCTCGATATAACGCTGTCCTCGGGAGCCAAAAAATCTTACCACGTTATAGGTGAAACTGCGTTGTATCGAACTTGCTTTGATCCACCGGAGTGTGCAGCCCCCCCCCGTTACCGCGTTATATCCGAATTTGTGTTATATTGGGTTGCGTTATATCGGGGTAGAGGTGTATGTGTTTATCCATAGAGAAGCAAGCGCATATACAGAAACATCTATGGCTACAAGTATACATAAATTCCTGTAAAGCCTACAAAACTTGATTCTGCCCCTCTGCCTTCACTGACAAAAAGTATGCTTCTACCATGGGAAAACTAACATGCATGAGCTATCTCGCTGTAAAAACATAGTGGAGACAAAACACTAGTTTTACAGAGACATAAACTTGGCAAGGTCACCCATTGCCAGGGGGTAGTACTAACCTTCTCTAGCTACCTCATGAAAAGAACTACAAATGCCTTGTCTCCATTTAGGATTTTATGATGAGATAATAATCATGTTAGTCATCTTGATGTAAAAACACTATGTGTCAGTGAAGACAAAGACATAGTGTGCCTGTCTGTGAAGAAAAGTAAACAAGCCCGGCTCCGTCCAAAAACCTTAACCCTGAGAGATTGGTGGAACATCTTCAGTAGCATTACTTTACACTATAGCCCTCCCACTCAGCCCCATACTCTCTCTTGTCAGATAGGTTTATCTACATCCTTCAAACATGTTGCTTTCACTTGGGCCCTTCTGGAAATTCTTATACATGCTTAACTTTCAATAGTCTCCTTGAACTCAGGGAGCCTTAGGCCATGTCTACACTTACTGGGGCATGCGCTGCTGCAATTTTTTTTTTTTTAATGGAGATATACCTATCTCCTAGAACTGGAAGGGACCCTGACAGGTCATCGAGTCCAGCCCCCTGCCTTCACTAGCAGGACCAAGTACTGATTTTGCCCCAGATCCCTAAGTGGCCCCCTCAAGGATTGAACTCACAACCCTGGGTTTAGCAAGCCAATGCTCAAACCACTGTGCTATCCCTCCCCCTACTGATGTTAAATCGACTGCAGAGCATTCTCCTGTCGACTCCAGTACTCCCCCAGAACGAGAGGAGTAAGGTAAGGGCAGACACTGCAGTAAGTCGACCTAAGCTACGTTGACTCCAGATACAGTATTCATGTAGCTGGAATAGCATAACTTAGGTTGACTTACCCCAGTAGTGTAGACAAAGCCTCAGACTGTAAGCTCCTCAGGGCAGGAACTTCGTCTTTTGTCTTTACAATTCTATGCACATTTCTGATGCTGTACAAATAATAATGCTATGACTGTGGATAAATGGGGGGAAAAAACAACACCCTAGCAACTCGGCAAGATCAAGATTAAAGATGCAAGTAAACAGCAGCCAAGAAATGCAAATGTTAAGACTGCTCCCATAATGGTATACATTGACAACAAATCAATAATATATTAAAAATTTACGTAAAAAGACGACAGATTAGAATATTATTTACACCATGACAAGATAAAGTTGCTGGAACAACCTTAATTTCTATAATTTCCTCACTTCTGAATGCTTATTATTACAGCAGTAGTGTTATAACACTTGGTTTTACATTTAATTTTCCAATTTAGAACACACACACACACACACACACGGAAATAAAGAAATCCACATATGTTCAGCTTTGGAACTTTTAAATTCTTCAATCTTGGGCCTATGCTAATGGTTTTTCATAGCTGTCTCTTCTGTGAGTTCTGCAAGTTCCCAGCCTCAATTCTGCTACTAATGGAGCTGGATGTACTTAATGACAAAAAAAGGGAAGGAGAGACAAACAAAAAAAAGTGCTATTTTTGAAAAGATTCATAACATTTTTTCAGACGTGGCTTAGTTTTTTAAATGCAATATATGTCTGGAAATCAATCACATTTTGATGTTTCTAGGCTTAGCCAAGTAAATCAACCAAAAGCAAAATTTTGATAATGATTTCTTTAAATGCACATTTAATTGAGAATAGCAGAGAAAAAATTGCTCAAACTTTCAAAAAATTACATTTGGACTTACAAAAAATGAAAATTTGGCTTAAATTTTATTGTGGAAGATGTGAGCAATTGAAAAGGGGAGTGTGAGCTGCAAGTACCACGTGTGAAGTAAACATGTGTGTACATATGTATTTTATATACATATTGCACATAAAACTATAGTACAAGACCATTATTAAGGCTGCAAAGTCAAATACTCAAAAGTTAGGAAATACCACAAAGCTATTTGTACAACCTTAATTTGGCCCCTTTGTGTGTATTTGTTATGACAGTTTTTAATTTCATGATTACATGCTATTTTTTCCAAAAGACCCCTGCCTCATTCAGTGCACAGACAAACTGCTTACTGAATGAGTAGTATTCAATATTCTGTTTTGTCCTCATAGTTAAATGTGTAGCCTCAGGCCTTAATTTACAGCACACTGTTCAAACCCTGCTATAAAGACAGAATTATTAATATCCTCATGGTCTTTCCTATGGCCTTCATTACTATAGCATCTCAGTGCTTAATTAATCAATCCATCTTCACAACACCCCTGTGCGATAAGGGAGTATTATTATCTCTACATTACCACTGGGGGGGTTGAGGCACAGAGATTAAGGTCAAACAGTAGACTAATTTTGGGTGCGCAACTTGAGAAGCCTTGAAGACTTGATTTTTTTTTTAAAGAGTTCTTAGTGTTATAAAGCACTTTGTACATTTAAAACATTGACTTCAGTTGTAGCTGCGAAGACTAAGCACTTCTGCAAATCAGACCTCACGTGACCAAGTTGAGCACTGAAAAAATGAGGAACACAAACAATTAGTGGGAACCTTTGAAGAGTTTACTTTAAGTGACTTGCTTAGCTTCACATACGAACTCTCTGGCACTGGCCGGGATAGAATCCAATTATCCAACGCTGCATTTGACTGATTTAGCCATAAGACAGTCCTTTCTGTATTATTCACAACACATCTTCCAATCTCTGCAGCATGAGATGGGGTTGCTAAGACAGCGCTTCATTTACAATGCAACCCTCATTCATCCCCAGAGCAGAGCCATCCAGTGTATTGAAATGTTTTCTAAAAACATTCAGTTTGAGGCAGACACCTATGATGTCAAGTTTCAAACCAAACAATTACAATTTGGCAAAGTTCTACACAACTGAAAAGAGGGTCTTATAATGGGTAGTGTCAGGCAACTTTAATAATGGGGACACTATTAGCCCTGCTTAAAAATATAATTACATAAATGCCTGTTGCCAGGCTGGGTGAAAAATAGTAGTTAAAACTGTATCCCTTTCTGCAGAATAAAGTAATATCAAACAACATTATTTAAAAAAAATGAACTTTTAAAAGAAAAATGCTTAACATCTATGAAATTATGTATTATGTAATTAAGATTTTTGATAGGCACACCAATACACAGAATGCATTTTAGGTAGTTTAAGAGGAGCAGATTTTACATGAACTGCATTTCTGCCCACAGTATGTTATTCAAGTGCTTGTTTTTGTTTTTTAAGCCTCTTCATACACTGTAACCCATATTTTTGCAGAATGGAGAATTTCATTTCAATTATACAAAGATACATTTAATATTTACATAACATTTTTAGAAGCTAAAATATTTAACATTTACTAGACTAGAAATATCAAAATACTGTTTAATTTTTTTTCAGCAATGCATTTTGCTGTAGCTTGCTATGAAAGACTAATCTAAACATGCAATAAATCCAAAGACTAGGCTAATTTTCCTCTGAGGCATAAGAAACCTATTGAGCTCCCTGCATCTATCTGATTTGCTTATAAAAGAGCACCTGATAATTTGAAACTAGAAAGTGTGACCTTGTCAATACTCAGAAAACTGAATAAATGTGATAAGTAACTACAGATATAAAGTACAAAACCAATAAATCTCGTACCTGGTGCAACGGCCTTGAATTTTTTCAGCAGTCGTATGTGAGTTTCAGGTTTGATAGCATGCTTTACAAATTCTGAACAGCCGCAGTTTTCAAGGAGAGTAAAATAATAAAGCAACCGCTGGTGATCTATACCTTCAATACCCGGGTAAACATATTTGGCCATGTGTTGATATAGGGCTTCAGGGTTGGTTTTCAAAGTCTCAAAGAGACCAAGACTTTGTGCTCTGTCTTCTATTTCTCCAGTAGATAAGCTGTGTGTAAAATAAATATTGCTTTAAAGGTTGGACACTCAAGTAAATTAAATACATATTCATTCAAATACAAGAGGTGACATGATAACTAATTTTTTCCCTTAAGCAGAAAGGTTCAATTTTGTAACAGATTTTGAAGTGTGAATACTACTTCAGGTACATATGTCTGACGTGTAAAAAGTGACCCCAAATATTTAAGAAATTCTTAAATAATTCATGCTCTTTCAACAACAGGAAAAGAGGCTGGGTAATAAACTACTTATTTAGACATGTATATAGAGAGTCATATCAGTCACATCAGAATATTTCATACTTTCACATTCCAAAGTCATCAAATGGTATTGGATCACCATTTCTATAATAAACATCTATTTTCAGGTTTTATAGTTTGCTGCAAAAATTCAGCTTTCAGATGAAACTTGGCAGGTGGGTTCTCCATCATGGAGCAAGATTTTGGCTGGTTTTAAGTTTTAAAAGGGTAAGAAAATAGAGCTTTTGCAGTTCAAGTTTTCTTTAAATTATCCATTTAAAAGGGTAATTATTCCATTTTATGAATTGCCTGATTTTGCTATCCAATTTTTTTTTAAACGGCAAAAACCTTCACATTATAAAAAAGGAATGTGCGCATGCATGGGAACAAGCAGCAGCAGAATTAGGATATTCAATAGCTACATTGTACATATGCACTTGAAACACGATATATTAATGCTTTAGATGTTCAATACAGTCAGAGGACTTGGTCAGTAAAGGGAAACGGTAATGGCATATCTTTCGGTCATTTGTTTGATTCAGTAACGACCAGAAAGTTAATATCGGCTGGACTGTTGGTGACATGGCAAATGACTTGGGCCAGGATGCTGAAAGCTTCGCCATGTGGAATAACTGTGCTAGACTGGGGCTTTGCTGATTTTATACTAGCTTATACTAGCAATAGATGTTGTTGATAGATAATGCTTAGATCATAGTATCCATTCCTATGCAAGTACAGCATACAGTACTCATACAGAGGGTACCTTCAGACAGCCTAATCTCTCAAATACATTCAGTCACTAAAATTGGCATTTTGTTAGCAGATCGAAGCATTTCCCCATAGATTTAATGCAGATGAAGATTCAACTATTCTCTCATGCCTGGGGCTGAGCCCCATGCAACAGCTTTGAGAAACATCTATAGGTAGGATGAAGAAACCTGCAGTATTACTGCCCATTCTGCACCTACTCTCTGTAGAACCAATTTCCACGTCTGTCAACCTACCAGTGATAGTCATTAAATTTAACTGAACATGAAAATGACACTTAGAATAGCAGGAAAGCCAGCTTAGTACAGATAAGAACTAAACAACAAGGTTAAATACAAATGCAGGCAGAATTAAAGCCACAAATGAAAATGTCTAGAATATGCTGAAAATGTAAAGTTGATCAACTCAAATCTGAAGAATTTAACCCACAGTACATTTCCAATAAGTCAGATGTTTTCTGCTCTCTTCTTGTTTATTAAAGGGAGTTATATTCTGAATACTGCCTCGGTAGAAGCAACATTGAGACATTTTATATTTACCTGTGATTTCCAAACAGAATATGCTCAGTTTCCAACCCTAAAGATGATTTTTGTCACTGTAAGAATTGCAAACTCAATCTTGTTTCAGTTGAAATTAAGATCCTATCTTTTACTGTAATAAAGATTCTACATATAGAACAATTACAAATTTCGATAATGATGCTGAAGACAATGCTACTACCTTGTTCCTTCATAGCTGTATTGGCTCTGCAGTGTTAATGAAATAAAATTCTGTTTTTTCCTTTCTGACCGTAGCTATTTGCTCAGTTTGGACCCACAGTTAAATCTTCCCAAATCTGCACTTTTTGTTTAATTACCTTGTCAAGACAGATATTAGAATACATTTACTGACACGTGATAAATATTGAAACCTCCCTGTTAACTAAATTACAATGTGCCAACATGTTTTATAGACTTCTGTGATCAATAGTCCTTTTCAATAGCTTCTATAGGAAGAAGCAGTTATATTTTCCTTTAGAACATAAAATGTATTTTTAACTTAGATAATAATCACCACAAATTCTGATTCATTGCACGATGCAATATCATATGATCATTATTGTCATCACCTAATAAAATAAATGATTACTAGTATAAAATGTGTGTCTCTTTTTTCAGAAACTGTCCATAAAGTGGCTTGTATAAATACTGCATATTTGTCTAACAATGAGTAACTCTTAGAATAAACTTGTTTTCATTTCAACATTAATGCATAAGAAGGCATGCATTATTAATACAATAATCCCTAGAGTGAATTATACTGTAATGGCCACATGCTTTCAATCACCCTTAAAATGAGATTATTGTAAACGAAAGAATGTTCTGCAGTATCTTATATTATTATACATCAATTTTTTTAAGATACTTTTTTGAATTTCATTTGGAAAAAGGACCTTTTATTTTGTATTTCACTTATTATAGTCTTCCACAAATACTAATTCATAGATGAGAGAATGAGTAAAATGGCAGAAGCCTTAGGTGATATCCCGGCCCCACTGAATTCAGTGGAAGCTTTGCCATTTACTTCAGGGGGTCCAGGATTTCACCCCTTGTGTGTAATTTCTTTTAATGAAATAAATAGTATAGGAACATGTTCAAATTTAAGGGCTGTAGCTTTTTTTCTCTTACTTTTTTTAAGACAGAAAAATTCAGACTGCTCCTCCATCTTCAGATCGCCAACTCCACTCCATACATAAGTAGTTTTATCTCTTACGTCTCATGTTTTATAAAATACGATAACTTTTTCATGCGTTTTAATTAATAGTTAATGTTAAAAGGGGTGCAAGCGTACTGAAAGGTGTGGATACATGAATTATTTCAAATTTAAAGCCAACATCTTCATTTTTTTTTGTACTGAAACTGGTTTAGTTGTGACTTTCAAAACAACAGATAAGAATTGCCCTGGTTCATTGCTTTTGTTCTGTATTTATACCGAGAGCAGGAAGCACTGCCATCTCAACCTGCTATAAGGACAGTTGGCATATCCTCTTATTGTTCCATCTTACCCATTCTTAAAAAGGGGTATGTAGTATTTTCCTGCCTCACAAGGTTGTTGTTACGCATAAGTGATTAATTCGAACCAATTAGAATGAGAAACAAAAGTATCCTTTTTTAAATCAATATAACCAAGCGTTGGACATAATCTCCTAAACTGGACCCAATTCGGTAAAACTGCTACAAAGATGAAAGGTGTTCCTGTAAAAAATCAGAACCCCACGTGAATATCATTATGGAGATGAGAGGTATTAATGCTATTGAATTCAATGCAAAGAGGATCAAGCCCTATATGAAGAAGTTGAAGCTTATGTAATAGAGTGTAATTCCTGTGCATGGTGATAAATTATAACTAACTAAGGTTAAGATTTTGTCACGGGTATTGTTAGTAAAAATCACAGAGAGATCATGAGCAATAAACGAAAATTAATGAAAGTCTGTGATCAGGAGCGCTGGACGCTGCTCCAAGGCTGGGCTGCCCTCGGCTGCTGCTCCAGACCCAAACCCAGAGCCTGGCTACGGCTCCAGCCTCTGGGTGGCTGCTGCTGCGGCTGCTCCAACCTTCTCAACTGACTGCTGCTCCAGCCCGCGTTGCTCCTTCCGTGGGGCTAGACAGCTGTTCCAGCCCTGCTGCTCTGATGCAGGCTGAAGCCAAAGAAGTCATGGAGGTCCTTTAAAGTCACGGAATCCACGACCTCAGTGACAAAATCGTATCCCTAATTATAAATAACTTGGCATCAGCCAAATGTATTCCCCAATGCAATCTTATATTTCATATATAATGACAATGTCGGTAGATATACAAAAATATGACCTCTTTAACTTAAATATTCTAAAATTCACACAAATTTAAATTGTTTTTAGCACATCACCTGTTTCTCCAACAAAATTCAGACAATTTGCATTTAGTAGTGTTAGATAAAAAGATGTGATAGCGACATTCTTTTATGTTACATTTTCTCCTTTTCATTTAAAAAAAACTTTTTTCTACTGTTAACAATACATGAAATAAATGGAAAATGCGAAGCATGCTATGTGAAAGTAAAGCAAATGTAGTAAACAAAAGCTGCTTCTTTCTGCCATGAGAATTCTCTTGGAATGGGTCATACCTCAATGGAACAGAACTGTAAATTAATTCAGATGAGCCTCAACACTTACCCACTATCAGTGAACAGAAACTCAAGATGTGTCATATAAACTTCCCAAAGTGGAACACTGTAACGCTGAGCCAAGGAAAGAGCGATCTTGTACACATTTTCTTCAAGTGTTCTTGTTAGGGGAGAACCATAAAACACAGCAAGAGAAAACAAAATAACTGGTCACTCTAAAATGCTTAGAAAAAAAAGTCAAAGAAAAATACTTAAGCTAGAAAAGGCATTGTTGCTCTGCATACCTCCCCCACCAACCCCATGCACAAACTGAGAAGCAACAATTCAAATTAGTTTTATTTCTTTGTTTTATTCTCAAAAGGAAAACAGATTAGAAATCTATCATTCTGGAATTGCTTGTATGGGATAAATAAAAATTCCCATAGGTATAGGTATCAAAATATTAGGGATAGATTTTTCAAAGGCACAAATAGAAGTTATGTAAATGTAAACAAACTTGTTTATCTTAGTGATTGGCTAAACAAGAAGTAGGACTGACTGGACTTGTAGGATCTAAAGTTTTACATTGTTTTGTTTTTGAGTGCAGTTATGAAACAAAAAAATCTAGATTTGTAAATTGCACTTTCACGATAGAGATTGCACTACAGTACTTGTATGAGGTAAATTGAAAAATACTATTCTTTTATTTATCATTTTTACAGTGAAAATATTTGTAATAAAAATAATAATATAAAGCATGCACTATACACTTTGTATTCTGTGTTGTAATTAAAATCAAATATTTGAAAATGTAGAAAAATATCCAAAATATTTAATAAATTTCAATTGGTATTCTATTGTTTAATAGTGTGATTAAAACCACGATTAATTGCGATTATTTTTTTGTGAGTTAACTGTGATTAATTGACAGCCCTTACTATATACATAGTTTCATTCAGGTGCAGGTTCTTTAGGGTTTTTTTGGGGCTTAACCCTGATTCGAGGGATATAATAGAGACAGGGGCTGATAGATCTGTCTATTAAGATCACCTGATACTTCCTATTTTCTCAGTTGCTTATAGGTTTGCTAAGCTTTAAAGTTTGGGGTGAAATTTTCTATGCTAGTTGTCTGCCTCAGGCTGAGATTATTTTGGAAAATTTCAGCCAAAATGGTTCAGCCATTTTGGAGAACAAGGCTAGGGAAAAATACATTTTCTCCATATTAATCAATACTGGTGACCCTTTCTGAAAAGCTCTAGTGTCCCCATGCTTTGGAACAGGGACTGGGACAAGAATCCTGAGAAGTGGAAACGGACTGATTAGGTGAGGAGAATGGGACTGGGAGGAAGAGCCGGGGTGGGAAAAAGATAGCACTGGGAAGGAACAGTTGTGATCATCTAGTTTGACCTCTGGCATAACACAGGACTTTCTTGAATTAATTTCTGCTTCAAATCCAATAGTTGTGTCTGAAGATGAGTATATCGTTTAGAAAAAGATCCTTAAAGATTTCCAGTGATGAGAATCGACCACAACCCTTGGTTAGTTTTTTTGATAGTTAATTACCCTCACTGTTAAAAACTTGTGCCTTATAAATTTTTCTAGTTTCAAATTCCAGCCATTGGATCTTGTTATACCTTTGTCAGCAAGACTGATAACCCCGTTTCAGATTTGTTCCCTATGTAGGGATCAAATCACTAAGGCCCATAACCCGAGTGTCATCTTCAACTTGGACCTCTCTCTAGGTATACACATCTAGGCTGTGTCTAAATCTTGCATATTCTTTGTGCACTACATCTCTATGATACAGCCTTTCCTAACCACCCATACAGCTAGGCTCTCATCATCTCACATCTCAATTACTGCAATACCCTTGTCTCTGGCCATGACAATTGCAACCTTGTCCCACTCATATTCATTCAGAATGCCGCTGCAAAGATCATTCTCCTAGCCCATCACTTAGATGATGTCACTTCCCTCCTTCCATCTCTTCAACTGGGTTCCCCTTCTCTACCATATAAAATATAAGCTGCTTGTCTTCACTTTCAAGTCCTTCATGGCTTATCCCCATTTTACCTGTCATCTCTCACTATAAATCAAAGTGTGGGCTCCTTTCTCTGATTGGCCAATGATGCCAGCCTCGACCACTTGTTAAATTTTGAAACAAGTACTTTTATGCTTTCTCCCATGCTACCCCTCACATTTGCTCCATATCGTCTGTAAAGTGACCTCATTGTCCTTCTTAAAACGTTCCTTTGCTATGATGCATACAATAAACTTGACAACAGTTAGGAAACTGATGCGTTGATGCCATAGCCTACCGTGGTGACCAATATTGTCCCAATGTTTCCTTGTAGTTCCCTGTCTATCTGAATCCATCTAGGTATAACACAAGAGACTATAGATTGCTACTCTTTGGGGCTTTTTATTCTGTTTGTACAGCACCTAGCACAATGGGGCCCTGGTCCATGACTATAGCTCCTATGTCCTATGGAAATACAAATAATAAGAATGATTTTATGGTGTTTTTCCAGAGCATTGATTAAAATATTAAATAAAGTAGAACCCCACAAGAAACACACCCTTTTGGTCATTATTCTGTGTTTACAATTACATTTTGAGACCTACCAGTTACCCTGGTTTTAATCCCAATAAGTGTGCCATGTTGATTTTGTATCATTCCAGTTTCTTAATCAAGATGTCAAATGCCTTATGGGTGCCAAAGCATACAACATCAACACTATTACCTTTCTCAACCAAACTTGTGATCTCATCCAAGAATGATATCAAGTTAGTTTGACAAGGTCCATTTTCTATAAAGTCATGTTGATTGGCATTAATATTATCCCAATTCTTTATTAATTGAGTCCCATAACAGCTGTTCCATTATTTTGCCCATAATCGAAGAATAGTTGCACAGGAGGCTAGTGAACAGTGTATTGGCAACAGAACTGCAAGAATCTACGCAACATTTCTTACATCACTGTCACTGGACCACCCAGCAATAAAAGGGCAACTGGGAAGAAAAAAAAAAGGCAGAGAGGAGGTTGCCTCTACTATTTTGGGGGTTATTTAAAGCCTTGCTCTATACTGACCAAGTTTTAGATTTAGAATGTTGGGTCCACTCCAATTGCCTTCCCTTCTGATTCCTAGTGCACACATTAATGTATTTTTATCCTGGTTCCCACACTTCCCATAAAATTCATCCTGACATCCCACTGCACTATTCTCCATAAAATATGGAAGAACTAAAACAAGATAACGGACAATATATATGAGCAGGGAACAATATCATGCTGGGATATCACCACACCTTTGATACGTTAATGGCCTTTGGTTTATGAGTATTTACCCAAACAATGATAATATCATAGCAAAACAGACTCCCTGTGATGTCTGTGCCTTTCTGCAATTATCAAATCACTGATGGCAAAGATTTGGGAAAAAAACATTTTGCATTGATTAATATATTGTGCAAATTAAAAGGCGGTTAAAAAAAAAGTTAGAATAAAAAAATAATGTTAGACCACAGATGTTTATCTATTATCTCTTTTCTTCTCTTTTTGATAGGTGTCTTTTCTGCTCATGACAGCACCACAAGTTTCTACCCTTCCACTGCAGCAAGGCTTCCTGTCTCCATACTCCACAAGGAAAAACTAGGCTCAATACTTTTATTCATGTGTGGGAAGAGACTATTGGCATCCTTTCTGCCCTCCAGTAAACCACAGTGTACGGGTCAGGAAGAAGCTGACCCCTATGATTATTTTTTTTTAAGTTAATCTGCAATAGGAAAAGACAACTCCAATAGAAAAAATTAAAAGGTGCTTGGAGCAACTTTAGTGAATGTAGGGCCTAATCATGCAATCCCTATGCAGAAAAAAATCCTATCACCTTCAGTATAGTAAATGTAGGGCAAAAGCTGTTGCATCAGACACTTTGGTTTTGATATTACGCTTAATCAAGTACTTTGTATTAGTGTTTCTTTGTGACCCTATAATATAAAAAAATTACCTATGAACTACTATTGGGATGGAATAGCATCCATACATTCTCTTCAACAACTTATGCACAAGATGGTTAAACGTGGAAAATATGATGCAATGTGACTGTTACTGGGTAGCAGGGGGTTTTCACTGTCCCTCTGTGTTAGCTGATATTCAAGTCTGGTATAAATCTGCTGAAATTCTGTTAAACAGCCATTCCTGCTGTTATAAGTTAACTCCAAACAATATTTGACAAACATGTACACTATAAGGAGCATTTGCAGGCAAAGGTGACATGTTTTTACAGGGTGCTAGGAAGAATCAAATAGTTTCTGGAACACTAAACTTCTCTTATGTAGACAATATCAAAAAAGGATGCAGGTGCAGTATGCACAACTGAAAATCCCTAGGGCTGGATTCACAAAAGGACTTAAGTGCCTCCCTGGCACCTTAGGTGCCTAAATCCCCCAGACCCCACTGGAATTCCCAAATCCCCCACTCTGCTGTCCCCAAGCCCTGCAGGCCTCTAAAATTGCTTTGCATCTAAATTTCTGCAGAAAAAGTTCCATAGGTGCCTATATTTCTGCTTGTGAGTACGTACACTGCAGCCCCACGCCAGTCGTCCGAACACCTAAGCACAACACAAACTGGAGAAAGACAGGCATTCCTCCACCTAACTTGCCTGTGGGAACCAATTTGATAAACATGCTCAGAGTTCACCTACCGGATCAGGTCCCTCTATATGAGCTTACACAAAATGGACCAGAAGGGAGGGAGTAGCATCTTCATAACTTTTAGCCCAGTGGTTAGGGTACTTACCTGGGATGTTGGAGACCCACAGTTCAAGTCCCCCTTCTTCACTTGAGCAGGGAGAAGGGATTTGAACAGGAATCTGCCACCTCCCCAGATAAATGTCCTAGCTACTGGGCTCTGGGATATTCTGACATGGGGGCTCCTTCAGTTTCTCCTGCTGAAGTTCCATTATGGATAAATAATATTTTAAAAAATCATTGGCACAGGGGGTCTGGATCCTCCACCTCCCAAGAGGGTGCTCTAATCACCAGGCTACAGAATAATATTCTCAATTTATCTCTTCCCCCGCACCCTTTGGCCCCAATGATTCTTTCATTAATTTATCCACAATGGAACACCTTCAACATTGAGCGAACAAACATGAAAAATAATTCTGCGGCTTGCTGGATAGACCACTGCCCTGGGAGGTGGGAGACCCAGGGACCAGCCACTTGCTCCATTTAGAAAAAAAAAATCCACCATGGAACAGCTTCAACAGGAAAGACTGAGGAAGGCCCCATAGCAGAATATCCCATAGCCCAGTTGTGAGAGCACTCACCTGAGAGGTGGCAGGTTCCAGTTCAAATTCCTTCTCCTCTCAGGTAGAACAGGTTCTTGAAGAGTGGGTCTCTCACATCTCAGGTCAGTACATTAACCACTGGGTTAAAAATTATGAATGAGGTTTTCCCCCATACCATGCTCCTTGCTAAAATGGAGTAGGTGCCTAATGCCAAGACAAGGTTTGCAGCTGAAAATCCTGAGCAGAAGGAGGAACCTTTCTGCAGTCTGTATTTAGGCATTTGCTTCCGAAAGAGGGGAGGGCCTTAGCAAAACACTCCTTAGCTTGGCATCTCCTGTTGTCTAATTTAGGTGAGAAGCAGCCTCACTTGTTCGATTTTGTCAATTTCTTTCTAAGGTACCTATCTTTCCCCATTTATTGTATAGGGAGCGTAAGCACCTAACTCAGACTTTGGGAATCCCAGTGATTGTCTAGGTACCTAGAAGTAAGGTATTTTGATGTTCAGCATTGTCATTTCTATGTGAATCAAGCCCTTAGGAGACACTCTGCAGCCTATTCTCGAGAACCCCAAGACTAAAATAAAGGGATTCTGGAAATTAGGATTACAATTCAATAGAAAAATTGAATGGGGAATCCAATAGAGCTGGGTCTCTAGTCAATGCTATGAGACTGATGTACAATCTACCAGATTTTTTTTGGGGGGGGGGGGGGAGAGTGTATACATTTTTGCAATGTAAGTCTACTATAACTAAATTATCAACATTAAAACAGCGTGTTTATCTAAAATGTATTCAAATTCAAACATGGAAGACACGATATTTTTTAGTGTGGTTCAAAAATTCCCCCCTTTTAGGGCATCTGTTTTAATAGACTGTAATAGTAGTAGCTAAAGCACAAAGATAAGGGGGGTGGGAGGGAGTGGAAAGAGTATCTTTACTATTAGAATCCTGCAAGTATTGATCCATTTGGTTGGACAAACATCACTTCATCTGACTAGAGTGGTTGGAGAAAAAAGGTCCCATTTATAGCAACACGGCAAAATAAACCCGCAAAATGAGTCCTTCTAAAGGTCAGTGCTGCTGAAAATTTACTTTCCTGTTCTGAATTTTAAATACTTCCATTTGAACAAAACAGAAACCACACAACAGACATTACTTACTCCGCCAACCCCAGTATAGTTTCTCTCTTGTACTGGCCATCTGCTGTAAACCTCTGCACATCCACTCCTTTGCCAAGGCCTTGAAGGATTTGAGCCTGAGTGAAGTCCAGTAGTCGTTCATTGTAGTAGTACAACTGCTTAATCAAAGCTGCTATTTCTTCAGGCCAGTCTTCATAGCCACACTGAGAAACGTGCTTTGTGACCATCTTAATCAGCTCTTTTGGGTCAGCCTGTGAAATCAATTAAAAAAAAGAAAAGAAAAAAAAAGACCTTTATTTTAAAACTCTAAAACAAAGTTGCCATTCTAAGATCCATCTGATGGGATTTTCATGAATCAACCATGAACTATTTCTTCCATCCTGAGAGAGATGATCAGATCTTGCAGTATTCCACATTTTAAACATAAAAAGATTGCTTAATTACTTAATTGGCCTCTCAGAGTTGATAAGACAACTCCCACCTGTTCATGCTCTCTGTATGTGTGTATATGTATCTCCTCAATATATGTTCCACTCTATATGCATCCGAAGAAGTGGGCAGTAGCCCACGAAAGCTTATGCTCTAATAAATTTGTTAGTCTCTAAGGTGCGACAAGTACTCCTGTTCTTTTTGCGGATACAGACTAACACGGCTGCTACTCTGAAACCTGTCATTTTAAACATAGGAACCTCTCAGAAACTTGTAGAACCTTGTAGAAATGTAAGTGTGACCACTGAATGCTAAATAACCTGAACACATTTATATAATTGATGCAAGTCAAATCTGCACTGCTGTCAAACTTGTATTTGTACTGGAGGAGATAAATAAAGGAAACAAATGTTCTTTTTGATTAGTGGAAGTAATATTATAGTGTACATTTTGTAATAGTAGTAAAAGCACAAAAATAAGAGGAAAGTCTCTTTACTACTAAAATCCTGCATTTATTGATCCATTGAGCTGAAAGATTAATTAGCAGACCCTAAACTATCTGTATAAAATATAAAAGTTACCTGATTACAAATTAGCTAACGGCCATCCTACAGTCAAACAGGGGAACATACCACAAATATTAAAATAATTCTTCTGAATCAATGACTGTTTCCAATGCACCGAGAGAAATAACATACAAATGTAACAGCATATCCATAACAGGATAAAGAGTGGTTTAGAGGTTTAAAAATCATCTGTGTTAGGTATTTAAAGTGCACAATGGCTGTAGTATCTAGCTCAAAACTGCACACAGAAATGAGATCTTTGAATGTGCATTATAGTTTCCACATTCATAAATCCATGGCACACAGAGACAGATACACTTTTGAAAATCTCGCCACAAATAATTTTGTATTGTGTGTATTATGAATATGGTATCTTCCATTTATACAGTGATATTCATGCCAAAGTAATTCACAGACTATCTTAACCATTATAGAAGCTACACAGTGATCCACTTACTCAGCCACTGAAACATAGCAAACTCTGTGGTCAAACAGCATGTAGCAAAACGACCTTACTTTTTAGGACAGGAAATGAATATGGTATCTATTTGAAATGGCAGAGGAATGTATACACAGCAGGAAAATGCAATTACCTAGGAATGTTGACAGTGCACTGTGTTTAGTCATGTTCTCTTAAGAAAAGTTGCATGTGATCTATAATAGCAGAGTGTGATCAACATCTTGACTTTACCGCTTATCTGAAAAATGACACCGTTAGCAATATAATGCCCCAACACAATACTGTGACTTTATTACGGGCTCTGAGGGAAGAGTGCCACCTACAGGATCACCAACACTTATTCCTGTATCATCTTATTTATCCTTGTGTGACAAGCAGGGTCCAGGCACCCCAAAGGGAGAACCGGGGTCCTGAACCCCAAAGAATAAGAAATTGAATCAACTGGTTGTATACAATGTTATTGTGTAAAAATATATGTCAATTAAGGTCTTTTATGAAAGCTTATAATGTTCTGAACTTGGTGGTCATTAGGAAATATTTGTTCAGGTTATCGTTATGAATGTAGGCACGTATATATGTGTAGAGAATGGTAATTGTAACTGTGGTGCAACTACAGCATCACCTCACAACAGGGGGTGAAGCAATCAGGCAGGGAGGATCATCTCTCAGGCTAGTTGTTCACATGAAACTAACTGCCGGTACCTAACATTGTACAACCTAGGGAAAGAAAATAGTGGATCATTAAAGTTAATGGAAAGACACTGAAACTGAAAAAACAACCACCCAGTCTTGGAAAATTAAAGGAAGGAGAGAGTTACCCTTGCTCTGTGTACCATAGTCTGAGCCCATGTCAACACTACCACTTATGTCGGCAGCAAAACTTACGTCACTTTGGGGTGTGAAAAAAACACCCTGCTGCGTGGCATAAGTGGTAGTGTGCACGGTGCTGTGTCAGCGAGAGAGCTTCTCCTGCTTACATAGGTACTGCCAGTCATTGTAGGTGGTCTAATTATGTTGGTGGGAGAGCTCTCTCCTGTTGGCTGTAAGGTCTTTAGTGTAGGCATAGCCTGAGAGAAAGAGGAAAAAAACCTGGAAACCTAGTTAAAAGGAAAAGGGGTTTGAAGAGAAGGCTATCTAGAAACTGCGGGCCAGCATCTCAACAAGGTGCTCTCCGTGAAACACTGAATCCCTTCTAGGACAGAGGACAAGCTGGAAAATTGGTAACTTGTATTAGAGAAGGGAATTTAGCTAATACAGTATAGAAATGTAAAGCCTGAGATTGCTTATTTTCTGTGTAACTTGTATGTGTTTGCTTTTCCTTACTATTTCATCTTTGAATCTATTTTTTTAATTAAATACACTTTATTTTTAACCTAAGCATGTCTCTGTTGTGCAAACTGTGTGGCATGCGTCCTCTGAAGAGAACTGATAATTGGGAGCAGATTTCACTTCTTTGGGGATGAGGAGGAAAGTGTAGATGTCTGGTAGTTAAGCACTTGGGGAGATAGATTTGGGGAGACTCGGGACCGGAAGGGATTGTGCAGGTATGGTGCAAGGAATAACTAGGCTGGTGGAAACCAGAGTTGAGATCTTTCTGCTTGTAGGCTGGCTACTGATGTCAGAGCTCTGAGCCATACCAGAACGGCATTACTAAGGCAGGTGGTGACAGAACCCCTTACTGGTCTGGGAGATTTGCGAAATGTCATACCTTGCAAGTCTAAGTTCTGATCAGGTTGCATGAGCTAACAAGATCAAAACACAAGAAGATACAGATGCCAGACACAGCTGTGACATTTTCTGAAAAAGACAAATCATCTAAGCACAATGAATACACTAAGTAGCAGTGGAGTATGTTGGATGAGTTTATATTTATTTCCATTATAACTAGATAATTTTTAAAAAAACATCTTAGCAATCAAGGATATTTAAAATTGCAAGCTTTTTAAAATGACCTGTATAAAACTACAACAGCACTATGCGTTTCTGTACACAATAAAAGGTTTGAACATTGGGAAAAAAATCATTAAGAAATCTTTTAATTCTCTAGTATCAGAGGGGTAGCCGTGTTAGTCTGAATCTGTAAAAAGCAACAGAGGGTCCTGTGGCACCTTTAAGACTAACAGAAGTATTGGAGCATAAGCTTTCGTGTGTGAATGCCCACTTCATCAGACGCAAGATGAAGTGGGCATTAATTCTCTAGAAGCCTTTTTTCTCTCCCATCACCATAACAGGCTGATACCCTGTTCAACTATTTAAATTACTCTTGGCATGTTTTTCTATCCTGACATCATCCATCATCATTACAAAAAATCCTAGAATATGTTGATTTTATAAATGGCAGTTCTTTGAAAGTGCTGAGGAGACTGGTATGTTGCAATAAGTTCTCACCGAGATAGATTTGTGGGTAGAGTACTGCCTCCACATATGTGGTGTGCACACATATTATGTATTCACACACAAAATGTAAAGAACCCTATATGAAAAGAAAGCTACAGTTGTAAAAACAAGCACTTGAAAGTTAATGAAATGCCAGAAGTAAAGGCTGCCCAGACAACCTTAATTCTTCCCTCCTTTATGTATGCATTAAGATGTAGGAAAAATCCTGAAAAGTCTAAAATGTATTAATGTTAGCAAAACTATTTACATTTCATCTTGGAAATGGATGCAGCCTCTTGCTGAAATTTCCCAGAAAGAGTTCAACCTGAGGCACAGACCAACCTTCGAAAATTTCAGACCAATCAGTTAAAATTTGGCAAAGTTATGACAAACCGAAAGCAGAGGGTTATAAAAGACAATATTAGGCAACTACCTACCTACAACAAAAACTCAATTAATCCTTTCCTTGACCTTCCAAGTACTATATTTTATCTTTTAGATTGTAAGCGCCTCATAGCAAGGACTCATTGTGTGCCTTGTACAGCACTAAGCTCACTGACAATGCTTATATAAATAATAAATATATCACTGAAATTGGCAGAAAATAATTTAATGTAAGTGTGCCAGAACTTTTCCTAGTGGGTGGCAGAGTAATTTACTTTGTAGTGCACAAAAAACATAAATTACATTCTTGCAAAAAAGCATTATACACATTTTATACACACCAAAACTACTTAAAATACATTGCAAAGGCTGGTAAGTCCAAAATCTGACCTACTTTTCACTTCCCCTTCTTCACTACAAGCCAACTACTGATCTTCACTTTCTAGACCCTTCATTGACTATATCTAATACACTATCAAGACTGACTCGGCACCACTCTGCCAAAAAAGCCAGCCTTCATTGTTCTCTTGTTGAATTTTCAAACAAGCACATCTGTGCTTTTTTCCATACTTGGGAGGAACTCCCGTAATATCTGCAAAGCGTCTCCTCCTTCAAATCCATCCATAACACTCTCCTTTGCCAAGATGATTACAAAAACTTGACAATGGGTAGGCAGCAAGTATGCAACATAAGAACTGCCATACTGGGTCAGACCAAAGGTCCATCTAGCCCAGTATCCTGTCTTCCAACAGTGGCCAATGCAAGGTGCCCCAGAGGGAATGAACAGAACAGGTAATCAAGTGATCCATCCCCTGTTGCCCATTCCCAGCTTCTGGCAAACAGAGGCTAGGGACACCATCCCTGCCCAGCCTGGCTAATAGCCATTGATGGACCTATCCTCCATGAATTTATCTAGTTCTTTTTAAAAACCTGTTATAGTTTTGGCCTTCACAACATCAGTCTTGGCCTTCACAGCAGTGTGCTGAAACCACTGCTTTTCATGCTGAGCAGTATTGTCTCCCTGTTTCCTTTTTCT